GGTGGCAAAACAACTCAAGTCATAAAGTTTTCTCGATTTATCCAGACGTTCGCCTTGTCCTTTATGAACATTGTTTTCCGACTTCTCGTTTTCGAGAGATTCGTTTAAACCCCACCAATAGATATATCTTGTTTAAACGTTTTAAGGACATTCGCTCTTAAAGTTTTTAACATTTCCATTGGATATATTTCTTCCAGGAAAGTTGTAGTTTGTAGAAGAAATTTTGATTTCAGAAACAGCATCCCGGGAAATGATTCATAGCATCCCCCTCACCCCTTATGACCTTCAAGTTATAACCTACTCACTGCAAATAATTCCAGGACTCTAGGACAATTCCTCTAAAAGTATTTCAATATCGCGGCAGTGGGTATCGGGACGGACGGACGGACAAAACTCAAATAGCATCTCTTTTCTTAATTTAAACAAGTTGTAAATCAGTATATGGATGATGAAAGCGCATGGTTAGTAATGCAGATCAGTATTTCATTAGTAAAGATTAAAATTATCAATCTCACGAGTAATCTAACTCACAATAGGCTAGAGCCCGCACATCTACACTATAGCAGACAGCTTTTAGTGAAAATTTGAAGTCTCTAGCTATTGTAATTGCTGAGATCTCAGTCGGACAGCCAGCCAGCCATAAAGAATATAATAACGTATTTTTTTCCAATAATACGGGGCTAAAAATGTATGTCCACAACATTTTTTTCTTCGATATCGGAATGAAAAATGCACAATACCACCTATTGGCATCAACACTTTTGCAAAAATTCCACCGACGATAAGTTTCCGAATTACGAATGCTTTCGACGCACATCCGCCAATTGGAAAATCCGGGAACTGGAAAAAAGCTTGTATGATACACGTGGACCATTATCCACTCAAAAAAGCGACCTTCAGGTGGTATTTACGCAGTCCTTTCTAACTTCGATTCAATTCACTGCAAAATTCATGACATAATACGAATACTTTTTTTAATGCGGCACTTATCTTTAAAAAGATAAAAAATTACCCGTGCAAATAATGCTCTTTACTGTTAGATTATGAAACGGTAAAATTCAAGTAGGTAATGCTTTGTATTAGTTTTTTTCATTAAAGAGTTATAAATTCAAAATTATGATAAATATCGAACAATGTCCGTCTGAAATCATCTGTACCTATTTTGAACAAACTACATAAATAAGTCTCAATTTCTTTGATCCGTTTCTTGTTCTATGAGAAGACCACGAGATCATCGACATACGCCGTCAGGATGAATGTTTCTTCCCCTCGTCCCAAATAGAGAACACACATGGATCATAATAAATTAGATGGTGTGACACGGAACCTCTTCATGTCTTCCTGAAATCTTTCATGCCATGATCTCTGGACTGATGTAATCCATAAAGTGCTGCCGGTATTTCGCACACTTTGTTTCCTTCCCAAAAAGACTGGAGCATTTCTTTGGCTTCCTTGTTGATTTCGCTTGGTTCTGTTGCGAAAATCCTCCGCGACACTTCCTCCAAGTGTTCCAGAGCTTTCTTCATAACTCGCATTCCTCTTGTCCAGTGTTCCGTCAGCATGGTACTTGTTTCTTAAGATGGCACGACCTTCAATAACTCGTTTGTTTTTACATCTCGTGTGATCCCGATTTTCCACTCGTCTGGGATCCACACTCTGTACGTCCTTAGACCTCTCTGCGTACCCGACAAATATTCCTTCTTTGAATCGAGGTTCAAATGTCCCTGGGTTTCGTGTGTACACCTTGCACACAAATTCGCGGAAATAACTTTTCTGGTCTAAAGTTTGTGTGTTTTTTCTTCCTAAACTTCTTAATCGACATCGATTCCTGGTGTAGTTTCCCGTGTGGATGACATCATCCCACAACGATTAGGGCAATTCAGACTCCATCAACAATCATCATGCATCGTGCTCCATTTCCCAATTACGTTTGTTCTTAGATACTTGTTCGGGTATTCTTTTCCGTTATCGGATTCTAGGTAGTTGACCTTCTTCCCTGTCCGATTCTCCACCTGTACTATGTCATTCTTGAATGCCTCGAAAACGCCAATTTTATTCTTCAGGAGTTTAGTCACACACCATCCAGGATACTCGGCGATGAATACTACAAAATACACAAGTCTGATTTCATCTCTCGTAGAGAAAACGGATTTCTCGTCATTTTCCCCTGGATACAAACTTCCCCTGGATGGTTATACCTTGGATCTCGCCTTTGATGGTGCTTTTTCTCGAATTTTCCTGGAGTTTCTTAAAGTTTAGATGGCCTTCGGTGCCATATTTCAGTTTCAGCCAGTCTCGATTCTTCAGTTGTCCCTCCTGGTACTGAATTCTATTTGTTCGTCGTTTCTTGGATTACGTATGTTTTTGCTCGTTGGCTGCCTTCGCCTGGAGGATCAACTTTCCAGTCCAGTCGTGTTGTCGACAGTCTCTGCGGTTTTATCATCGAATACGACCGTCATCCCCTTGTCTGTTATTTCCCAAAGATAGGAGGTTCATTAGCAGATCTGGAACGTAAAATGCGTCTTGAATGTTTACTTCCTCAACTTTTCCATCAAAATCCGACTTAATCTCCACTGTCCCTCTTCCTTTGATCTTCGTCGACTTCATTCCATTTGTATTCTGTAGTTTTATGAAGTTATCTCTGTCTTTGCATCAGTATGACGTACTTCCATTGTCAATACACTTCTCTCATATTTGAGAACTCCTTCAAAGACTTCTGGTATTACTACTTTAGAATACATAGTTCTAGCTTGTACTTTATTTACGTTTACCTTGGTTGCGTTGGTTTTCTTCTCTTTCTGGTTGCAAAATTAGACCATGTGTCCTTCCTTTCCCCATCGGTGGCACCTGTACGGGAATTCCTTTTCAATTTTCTTCGAACCTCTTCTTTACGACCAAGGCGTTCTGAATTCCCGTTTCTGTATGGTGCTTTCTTGAATCTCTACACTGAATTATTTTGATTCTTAGTTCCTCGTGGTCTGGTAGTGTATCCTTAGATTCTGTCGTAGTGCATAATACCTTACTGGCATTCCCTTGAGTTTCTGCCACGTTGTAAACAGATCATTAAAATGTTGTCTCACATCGTCTCCCTTCTCTAGGGTCGTTACTGCCAACTTTTTAATCAGTATTGAATTCTCTGCAGGTTCTCCCACATTTCTTTCGAGGTCTGACAGTCATTGGTCATTGCTTTTGTGGTATGCCATGGAATGAACGAATTAGAAACCGAGCTACCACTAAAAATCGTGGAAACAACCAATCTAACGTAATTGCACCAATCTATTTTGCACTGCCGTTCATAATTTCATAAGAAAGCCGACGAAACTGCACGATATTGAATATTTTATTCGATCTATCCTGAAACTAACGTACATAACTTATCTCGAAAGAAAATGATACCTATTAACCATTACAAATTCCTTGTATTCGGTAAAGCTAGGCAACAAGTCATTCGTCTACCAACCCGACCTCTATTCACTGCCGGTTACGGCTCATTTGCACGTTGTTTAGTCGCCTCTTACGACACGCAGTGCTCTCTGCGGTAGGGTTATTCTTTCCCGACCCTACACAGGTGACCACATCTCAAATATCGCAATTATCAGAAATGTGCTAAAATAAATGAAAATTAAACACCAAAGAAGTTTTTCTAATTTATCCGCACTGTATATAAACGATTTCCAAATCTATTCCACCAGCCCCACAAGCTCAATGATATCATTGGCTTAAGAGGAATATTTATTTATCTTTTTTGTTTTTATTTTTAAATGGGCCCACTATACATTTACAAATATCCATGCCCGAACCCGAATTCGAACCAGCATGCCGCTGTGACACGCAGGTCGCAATTAGATTATGTTTAGTATGATTGGAAGCGCGCTAATTAATCACGAATTTTAAGACTAGTTCCTGATTTTTATGATAACCAGAGGCCGAGAAATGAATTAATCTTCGAGCATTTTAAAATATTCTTCGATCGCAACAAAGGCTTCGGGAGACTCCTGATTCAAGAGCAAATCATCTTCGTGAGAAACGTCCACCCCTGCCGAAATTTACATTTCCGTAATTGACTGTGTCCAAATCGAGAGTATTCCCGCGGCCAGAAATAGAAATACTGTCACAAGTCACCACCAATTTCAGAAAAGATATCCGGTTCTAATACTAATAACACTCTAGATAAGAGACATGGAAAAATTATTAAGACGGGGCCAAGGTGAAGGGCCCGTAGTGGGAAAAAGAGAGATATGGTCCTTGGCATACGCGGACGACGTAGTGATCATAGCAACAGAGGTACAACAAATGAAAGAAATGATGGGAAGAATGGGGATCGGAAGGGAGATAAATGTAGAAAAGTCGAACATGATGAGTTATGGGAAAGGGGGGTTGAAGTAAAAGGAAGAAAATGGAAGTGGAGAGAGGAAAGAATAGAAGAGGTAAACGGAATTAAATTTTTAGGGTACCAAATGCAAAGACACAATGGGGCAAATGCGCAAACTAAGAAGGGGGTGGTGGCGACGAGGTATGTCTGGGGAATATGACGGATGTGTTTCAAGAACAATTTCAGGACAAGAAAATACCTCTGTTCGATGGGATGGTGAGAGGGATGCTTATTTACGGAGCGGAGATATGGGGGTGGAAGGAAATGGGATGAACTGAAACGGAAGAACCACAAATTGTATGAAAAATCAAAAATAGAGAAGGATCAAGTCGGGACTCCGGAAAGGAGCGAAAAAGTGATTGGTAAAAGAATGCCTAAGAACCAGGATGAACGCAAAAGGAATGTGGGAATGGAATAGCATGTCAACATATGAGATGGGAAACTGTTTTCAGAACAGTTAGACAAAGACGACGAGCGAATTTAAACCAAATGCAAGACTGATAAAGAAGTTTAACTAAAAGTAGGCTACGTCATTTAAAATAATGAAGATTAGGTCAATTTCCAGTGAAAGCTAAAGTTGCACGTTTTAATTGAACCGACCCACCAAGTATTTAAAGGATATGGCGTATTGCAGGAGAATTCGTAATTTCTTTATTGAATTTTGAAATTCAATTCTGTGACACTCATTTAACATCAATTATTGCACAAATTGTAAGATTCCATAACACAGGAGTAAACTGCCGCCGCGGTCTCAAGTGCGCTGTTACCCTTTTCCGCTTCACATTTATCGAAGAATGAGCAGTCGAATTTTTTGTAACTTTCGCAGTCTTCTTTGACCGACTTCAAAGAGACCACTCCGTCGGCGTTGATGCAGTTGAGCTGCTCCAGTGAGCACAGAGTGTACTCCTTGATACCATCTACAGCGGGGAATTGTTTGTCCTTCCAGGCTTTGTCAATGACGGCAACGTCAATTCCGGCCTTCTTCGAGCAATGTTCCTTCACTTTTTCGTAATTTAGTGCCTAAAAATATGAATGAAATTGTGGTCGCTCGTAGGTTTCACTTACTGCCGATGACAGCGCAACCAAGAGAGCCAGGATGAGGAAAGTCTTCATTTTGGAAACTAACTGTGTATATAGCGGAATGCCCGTTATATACCTCGCGACAATGAAGCAATTACGCAAGTTTTACGCTAAATTATATGTGATTAGACACGACAAAGCGTTTTCAAATAAAGCTTTGGATAATATCATCGCCGATTGTCACTTCTCGAATTACGTTGCGGCAGTTTTGCATTAGGCTTACGTAATCTGTTTATCGCATAATTAACCTATTCCTGTATTGGAAGTAACTGGAAACCAAAAATATGCTATTCTTTAAGGCTTAATCTGCGTGGGAAGGAATTAACAAGTCCCCTAATCCCTTAGTGTACGCTAATACCAAAGTAATTTATTTTTCGATTCTGGTACTGTTATAACGTAATTGCCGGACTGTTTTTAGGCGATTTGCTTGCCGCAATTACCCATTACGTAAGCCGCATGCTTTTTTAACCACAATAATACTCAATTTGCTTTTATTTTGATTAGTAATGCCAATGCCAGTCTACTACAACCCTTAATTTAGCTTAAAATTAATTTTAAAAAATTTTGTGTACACCTACGCATGGACGATTCTGCCCTTTTATGCCTATGAATATGTGTGCCAAATTTGGTTCCAATAGGCTTAGCCGTTTAGCCGGAAATGAGAGTACAGACGGACCGACAGACCAACATCATCGAGATTTTGTTTGATTCGGATACACCTCGTGCTTCAATAACATAAAGAAACTAAACATGAACTTAAATTTGAAACACATTTAATTAATAAATAATTAATTTTCCTTTTTCTGTCCCTCCCACATGTTTCACTAACATGTTACATTAAACAAATCAAATCCAGTCTTCATTCCTCGCCGTAGATATTCAAGCTTTTCCTTCTTTAGTAGACTTTTGACATTCCAAGTTCCCATACTCAATTTACCTCTTTCTTTCTCCTGATTGCTTTTTTTGAATGCACTCTTCGGTTACTGTTCACCTCGGGGATCCGAGTAGGAGTCCATATTTCATTAGCACTTTTCAAGAGATACCGTGTGGCCCTTAATGGAGAGGTTTCCCCTAGTCTTCTCCATTCTGGCGCCGTTTATCCAGAAAAATTCTTCCGTCTTTGGAGTACTTTCTCACTTCCGGGATAACACAAGAGAGGGATAATAAATAAATAAATAAATAAATAAATAAATAAATAAATAAATAAATAAATAAATAAATAAATAAATAAATAAATAAATAATTAAATAAATAAATAAATAAATAAATAAATAAATAAATAAATAAATAAATAAATAAATAAATAAATAAATAAATAAATAAATAAATAAATAAATAAATAACAAGGTGCTCGAAACCTGTACCCGCGCATCTGCCCTTCCAGAGGCCGTTAGCACTTGGTACAGAGTTGACTTCTTACCACGAAAGCCCCTCAAGTCGCGGGAAGGGTTTTTTTTTCTATGATTTCGTTAATATTTAATTAATATGACTGGCATGATGAGTATGACACAGTACCCTGTGTTGTGTTATATTTATAGCAACTTAAGCACAGAACATTTTGAAGCAGAACGGGGGCGGGGTCTGGGAGAATGGAATCCCCTCCCCCAGTATATTTTTTACCAAAATGTGTGGTACCGTTACTGCTTGGACCATAATTTTTGAACTTTGTGAACCAAAACGCATCAACGGGGAGTAAGGAATGCCATCAGAGCCGAAGGTTCTATGATGTGTCTTTCTTGGGGGTATTACCAACCTCCGAGACCCCCCCCCCCCCGTTCAACATTCTAGTCAAAATGTCTAGTATTCTTACCACTTACACAATAATTTTTGGAAAAGGTTTTAAGGGCTGAACGCTTTCAGGCTGAGCACATCACCGGGGGGTTTGGGGGAATGGAATGCCCCCCCCCCTCGCCCAGTACAAGACGATATTATAGCACTTGTAGGAAAATGTAGACTGAATCTCTCTTCTTTTTTCAAAGTCTATATTTGTTAAATATGTCGATGTGTTCTTAATTCTCAACTTGTCTGAACGTAGGTGAGGAAAAGTTGGAGGTTGGGGGTTGCCTTCCAGATGTTGAAAAATAAAAGAGATTAAAGGGGAGGGAGGTTAAAACGAAAGATAAAGGGGGTGACAGAAGAGCGATCAAGAACACCGTGGGTTCGTAATCGAAGTTCTTAACTCGGCCTGAGTCGCCAATGAGGATACTAAGGCACGCCAGCGTCCCCTACGTGCGTACTACGTCACAATGTTTTAGGACGTTTTTGGTTGCATACTTTATCTACATTTCCAATTTGTAGGCATTTTACAACAACAAAAAAGATTTCTTAAAAAAAACATTTTTATTTCTTATTTTCAAGATTTGAGGGGGAGTTGAGGTGGGAATTTTTGGTAGAAAGTTACAAATTTGGGTTCAGCAACCAAAAAAACATCAAGTAAGCCTACTTCCAGAACTACCATTAATTTTGCTAGCTAATGTCCTCATATGCCCTCTATTGCCTGGACTATGTAGACTGTACGACTTTGTAAAACCAGCGGAGGGCGTTTAACTTTAATTCAATACCAAGATCACAGAGCTGGGCAGTATTCGATTTTGTAAATACTTTTTAGTATTCAAATCCTTTAAAGTATTCAAATACTTTGTAATTAAATACTTTTATGGAAGCAGTATTTGTATTTGTAACTCAAATACTTTCACAAATATTTAGTATTCGAATACTTCGCATAGTATTTGAACCTTCCTTTTTTTACCAAAAATCGACTACTCCAAAATTTTTCGGGAAAACACTTTTTCTTATTAATTTTGGTGCGTAGAATCCAAAAGAATTCGTACTTTTTCGATCAGACTTTTCAATCAAAAGTTATAGACTAGAAACCAATTTCGAAAAAAATTCAAAGGGCTGTACCTTTTGAACTAGTAGCTCAATCTTGGTGGAACTGTTTGAAATTATGGATTCTACAGGCCACATTCTATAAGAAAATTTTTTCCGGGTCGATCTGAGACAATTTTTTTTCGGGTCTCAAAAAAAGGCAGTGTATAACCTTCCTTTTTTACCAAAAATCGACTACACCAAAATTTCTCGGGAAAACACTGTTTCTTATTAATTTTGGTGCGTAGAATCCAAAACAGTTCGTACGTTTTCGATTAGACCTCTCAATAAATAGTTATAGACAAAAAACAAATTTCGAAAAAAAATTCATAGGGCTGTAACTTTTGATCTAGTAGCCCAATCTTCAAACTGTTTGAAATTGTGGATTCTGCGGGCCAAATTCTGTAGGAAAATGTTATTTCCCGGTCGATCTCAGACAATTTTTTTTTCGGCCTCAAAAAAGGCAGTACTTTTAAGTTATTCAAATATTTGAGAACAATTTAGAAATGTTTAGGGAAAGTTTCCATTGTCACAAAATCAAATATAAAAATCCGATACATCTGAATACCGAACTCGATAGTCTACGTAACTTAAAAACAATAGGGACCTTTCTTGTATCCTTAAGACCATGTGTACCAATTTTCAAAGCGATCGCACGTTTCTAAACAAGTTATCATCCACACGGACAAACGGATGGTCAAAAATGGATCTGTTCCAAAATCGCTAGGATTAATTTTAGAAAGGCGTGTACGACGTACGATCGCTTTGAAAACTGGTACACGTATTCTTAAGGATATAACTGGTATAAGAAAGGTCCTGGTAGGTACCCCCTATATAATAATATAATAATAATAATACGCTTTTACTCCCCTTAAATTTGTATATAACAATAGAAATATAAAAAAAGCTAACCCCATACAAAGTATAACTTGATTTTTTAAGTAGTATTAAGCCTTTTTTCTAGTATACTATTTTAAATTTTTAATGTATTTGAGTGACAAGTATTCGAATACTTTTCAAAGTAAGATAATGAAATACTTTCCAAAGTATTCGAATACTTTTTATAGTATTCGAATACCTTTGATAGTATTCGAATACTTTTGAAAGTATTCGAATACATTCTAAAGTATTTGAATACTTATTTTTTTAAGTATTTGAATACTTTTCAATGTATCTGTATCTAGTATTCGCTTGTGCTGGACGTAAAAGTATTTAGTGTTCAAATAACTTTGATTTGCGTAAAGTATTTACTATTTAATATTCAAATACTTTTTGAAAGTATTCTGCTCAGCTCTGCAAGATCATTATAACTACAACACTGTAATTTATAACCTAGAGAGGGAAAATACATTTGTAGATGAGAAATGCAGTTTCTTCCTTTGTACGTCCCGTTAAGCGCTCGCATTTGTCGAACTCCTCGCATTCTTCCGTTTTATATTCCTGGCACATTCGTTTCAAAGGTGACAAGTGCACTTTTCCGTCACCCGTCATCAGATCTAACCGCTCTAATTGGCAAAAGCAAAACGCGTGGACTGCGGTATTGTTCGCAAAGCTCGTACCTACAAGTAAATCCTCAAGGTGTTGGAAGGAAATATTAGACTCGTCCACACACTGCTTAAAGGTCCTTTTAGAAGATTGCTATTGAGAATTGCAGTTAAAGTAATTTCATTTGAATACTATAAAGGTAACTTACAGTTTGAGTAAGGGCGACGAGAAAAACCATAAGCGCAAACATGATTGTAAGTTACCTATACCACAGTATCGGACATTTGGCATAGAAAAATGATAGCATGATTGAGATAATTGAACTAATTTTCCACCGTATAAAAACTTCAGGTTAGGTACGCAGCAAGGATGTAATTCAAACGACCTTTACTAACGTTTTACAATATTTCAACTGTGGCTATTGTGATGGAAAGGCTCGGGTATTTATCTGTTATTTCATCCATTTGGGACGACGTGATATTATACTTATCCACTATTCAGTATATACTGTAACATTTTAAATTTTAGCGTGAGTTAATAAAACTATTATTTATTTAGTCAAGTACTGTGTACTGACACGAGCGCTATTCCATAAATTAGAAACATACCTGAACGACAAAAAGCATTTTTAAACATTAGTGCAATAAGAGGTGAAAACAGGTAATCTGTAATCTTGAAAAGGTAGATTTTTAAACTAAAAAATTATTATCCAGAAGTAGGGGTCACAATATT